GCGTAAGTAAAAATCATTTTGAGAGGTTAGAAGGTCAATAAGTTTTCAACAATTTAGGTGTTTGTACAATGTTTGAAACAATAAATTTATCTGCATAATCAATATTTAAATCATTAAAAAAATTATTAAAAAATATACGATTCATCGTAGAAGATTGTTTTTTTAAAAACCAAAACTGTCCAGTCATTGCTTTTTTTTTAAATTTTAGTATGACCTATCGGCTTCTCAATTTTCTCCTGATGGTCGCGTTTTCCAAGTGGAATATGCTGCAAAGGCTGTAGAAAATTCTGGAACAGTAATTGGCCTCCGAGGAAAAGATGGAGTGGTATTTGCTGTTGAGAAGTTAATCACATCAAAATTGTATGAACCTGGCGCAAACAAGAGGATATTCCATATTGATGAACATGTTGGCATGGTCAGTAATATTATTCATAAATTCATAGTCAAGAATATGTTAGTATTTTTTTTAAAGATATTTGTTATAAAGAGATTGATATAGCTTAATCATTTCGGATAGTCTCGATCCTATTATCGGTGCGTTTAGACATTCCAAGCACCAGTCACCATTCTCTGTGAATCCATTAAATACGATGAAGGGTTTGTCATACAAACTAACTCACAGATAGATTGCTGAGTTTTTCCCTGGATCTTATCAGTAGGCCGCTATTCTCATCTGGTGGTAGATTCAGTTAAGCACTGCTCTTGCTAGGGTTAGTATTAACAAAGTCTCCCAACTAAGCCCTATGAGCACTTTCGGTAAAGCAACCCCTAGATGCTACTAACAATATGTAGGCAAACTAACTTATTGAATGTTCAGCTAATAGAATAGAATCTTGTTTTACTTGGTAGGAAAAGTAATATGTACTGTGTTTATATAAGTTTAATTATTTTTATATATTTTACTAGAAACCCACCCTTGCTTTGCTTCGGAAACTGTAATTTATTATTGATTTCTCCATAATTTAATGGATGTTATTATACATATAAACCTTCCTCTTCAATCACTCTATCTATTAAAAAAAAACCGCATCAAAATCCATTGCGTAGTTTTAAAAATTTAAGCATACATAGGGACAGACAGGTATAGGGACAGAGAAAGCGACTTTGTTTTATACTATGTAGTGATTCTTCCATAACATGGGTGGACAATTATTGAAGTTCATAGACATCACAAAGTGAAAACAGTGACTTCCATAACTGTTTGTCATTAAGACTGAGCAATATTTGAATATAAATATCCCACTCTTCATAGTACGAAGAGTACTCAGCATTAAACAGCGACTTGACTGTGTTCCTGGCATTGCTTATGTTCATGAGCGATGTTAGTCACTGACCATTAAGTATGTAGTATGCTTATCTACCTACAAAGGAATGAAAAGAACAAAAAAAGATGTGTGGTGTCGTGGGACACAGGATAGGAACGAAGTTCCTTATTATAAAAATATTCATTTTAAGTTCTATTCGGGGTATAAAGAAAATAATTATTCAGGTATACATTTTTTATTATGATTTTTTTTATTGATAAAAATAAATAAAAACTACTTTACAAAGTTATCAACCTTATTTTATTCACAATGATTTATAAAAAATATATAATAAAAATATGTTATTTTTTGTACGTTATTACAAAGTTAAGTTGTACACTGTGTGCATTACTAATAAAAATCTTACGACAGGGACGTTTTTTCCCAGTTAGGGTACCCCTCCGCATCATCCCATAAGGAACTTCGTTCCAAAAATCATAACCATATCCCTCTGAAGAAATCATTCAAGTCAATCACTAAAGATTATCTAAATTTTTTTCACAATATAAAAACTGTTTTCAGGCTGTCGCAGGGCTCATATCAGATGCAAGACAAATTGTCGAGACTGCTCGTTCAGAGGCGTCAAACTACAGATCTCAGTATGGCAGTCCAGTACCACTGAAGTATTTAAATGAACGAGTTTCAATGTACATGCACGCATACACACTATACAGCGCTGTTCGGCCATATGGTTGCTCAGTCGTTATGGGTACATGGACAGACTATGAAGGCCCTCAGATGTATATGCTAGATCCCAGTGGTGTATCTTTTGTAAGTTGTTATATCTTTTTTTTATTGCTTAGATGATTGGACAAGCTCACAGCCCATCTGGTGTTAAGTGGTTACTGGAGCCCATAGACATCTACAACGTAAATGCGCCACCCACCTTGAGATATAAGTTCTAAGGTCTCAATTATAGTTACAACGGCTACCCCGCCCTTCAAACCGAAACGCATTACTGCTTCACGGCAGAAATAGGCAGGGTGGTGGTATCTACCTACGCGGAGAGGTCCTACCACCAGTAAATCTATAATGTTATTAGTATTTTTCTCACAATGTTGTAGATATTAATGTCACTATTCACCTCAATTCCACCATCAATCAATTATTTAGATATTCCACCTTAAGTCTGTTTCTGTAATAGTTTTTATGAAGGGATTTTTGGCCTAAAGGCCAAGATGCCTGGTTATCTTGTATCGAAATATGCCTGTGTTCAAAACCCACAGGCAGTTAATGATTTTTCTATGAATATATGTACTAATGAATTAATTCCGTAATGAAGGAATAATATTGTTTATTAACTGGCAATAAGGAAGAGGTCTCTTGTGAGCCCAACCTATTTTTGCAAAGTATTCATGTATTCCAATTTGCATGAGCCTTTTATAACCGTATAATTGGAAATTGAACCTCATGTCTAATTCTTGGATGGTGGCACTCACATTCCAATGCAATGAGCCTAGTTAACCACTTAAACACCAGGTGAGCTAGGAGTGAGCTCGTCCATTCACACTTCGAGAAAAAAAACAGTCCCTCCATTCAGACCAGAATGCATGATTGCTTTGCATGCATGATAGAGGCAGTAATTTAGTGGCAAACAAGAGTCACGTGAGAGACTATTATAACTTAATTAAATTTTAAGTAAATAAGAAATATATTTCTGATTATAAACTTGTTTAATTGTAATAACATTGCCTGTTGATGTGACTATTTTTTTCAGTCATATTTTGGTTGCGCAGTCGGAAAAGCCAAACAGGCAGCAAAAACAGAGATAGAAAAGCTAAAACTTGGAGACCTCACAGTGAAGGAACTTGTGAGAGAAGCTGCTAGAATGTAAGTAACAGTAAAGTAGATTTACATATATGAATTAAAACAAGTATACCTTGGAAAAAGCTATTCTTGTAATTTGATTAAAATTTTGATAAAGTGCTCAGATAATTTGTCAGAATTTGTTAATATCTAGAGGTATAAAAATGTTGTATGAAACTATAATATAATATACTAGCCACTTTGCTGGCCATTTCAAATTAATATTATTATTTATTGTCATTATTATTAGGGAGTCCAACACTCATATAAATATTAGCCAATCCATTAACTACAAGTATTTTCTACATGGATACCAAGTTTCAAGTCAATCGGATGCATGGTTGAGTAGTTATAACGGAACATCCGTAAAAACCACTGTAGATTTATATATTAGCATAGATATATAATATGAATTGAATAAAGTTATTACTTTATTCAATTCATATTCAAAGAAATTATGAAAACATTTTGAAATGTCACCTAATTTTCAAGAATTACTTTTCTTTGTAATTTCATAATTTAATTGAAATTTCTATTTACTCATGATTTTATTATCAGTTTACAGTATTTTACAATAGTGGCTATGATTACTTTGTATTGGTGTAAATTGTATAAATATATTTTTTCAGTATCTATCTTGTACATGATGAACTAAAAGATAAGCAGTTTGAGCTGGAGTTGTCTTGGGTTTCGAAAGACACAAAGGGTCGCCATGAGCTGGTTCCGCGTGAGCTCGCCACCGAAGCAGAGAACCAAGCTAAACAGGCTCTTGCTGATATTGAGGATTCAGATGAAGGAGAGATGTGAACATGATTAATCTTAGTTATTAAATTTCGTATAAAAATGACTTTTGTTTTATTGAATAGTAAAAGTCGTCGTGGCGTAAAAGACAAGACGCCTGGTGCATTCGTATCGAGCAATACAACTGTGTAAGTGATCGAATCCCGTAGGCAGGTACCAATTTTTCGTGAAATTTGGTCGGTGAAATGGCTTACTAATAATATTGTACTACATATAAGTCAAACTCGCAAAAATTTTAATTTGGGTAACTAGTAGTAGAGCATGTTGTGAACCCACCACCACCTCGCCCATTTCTGCTGTAAAGCAGTAATGTGTTTCGGTTTGAATGTAGGGTAGCCAGTCGTACTATAGAACTGAGACTTAGAACTTATATCTCTATAGAATTCGCGCGAGTTTATTTCCATAGGGGCCAGAGGCGACGCGCGGGGGACAGCTCGCCGCGCGCTTTTCGATATCGAAAATTTACGCTAACGCTATTATGTTATTTCATTGTGAATAAACCATGACCAGATCAGACCAGCGGGTAGGTAAGCGTCCGCGTGATCTTCTTCCGTCAACCTGACCAACTACCATCAGCTTCTCGAGGTTATCGGGGCCTCTACGAGCGAATAAATGTGATAAGCACTTGATTGAAGCGTACACTTCAAACAAGTTCAGGTAGAAAAAAATATACTGATTCCGACTCTGATCTGTCGGTTATCTTTTCATCTGATAAGTGATGGAAAAGAAATAAAAAAAAAAGTTCTCAATTTGAAAAAGATAAGTCGCTTATCACATTTATTCGCTCGTAGAGGCCCCGATAACCTCGAGAAGCTGATGGTAGTTGGTCAGGTTGACGGAAGAAGATCACGCGGACGCTTACCTACCCGCTGGTCTGATCTGGTTAAGACACACATTGTAAAATCTATAGATTACAGTTAGTAGTACTAGTTAAAAAATAATAAAACGGCTGATCTTGGAGCCTACATACATTTAATCTGACGTCATTTTTCTTACGAGAACTTCTTATTAAAGACGATAGAGGACGTTATTAAAGAATTTTAATAATCCATTGTTTAGGTTTGAAATATTAATGAAACCATTTAATTCTTCATGATTTATTTGTATTGTCAGTTTATGTGTATTATTTCACAACATTCGCAGACATCTAATTACAATATACAAATTATATGACCAATATCAATGATGACTCACAATATTTATAAAATGTACAATATTATAATCTCATTTTTGAACTAAAACAGTTAAATATTTACAAAATATTAGATCTCATAAAATTGTATACAATATTGGATATTTAGGCTACAGTTGATATAAATACAAAAAAATAATAATTAAAAAGCCTACTTAGTTGTATTTACAAGATAATCAGGTCATAAATGTGAGTTAATTTTATTCTTGCTGTGGGGTTACTCGTCGATATAACTGAAACAAAAATGGATTCCAAATTATTAAACTGGTAGGTATTCACCTAGCACCAATGGTTCTCTAACACAATTTAAAATAGGGACTTAGACTTTGGTACAAAATGCCAGATGTAAAAAGCAAATAAAAAAAAACTGTAAAGCAAGATTGCGGTTCCGTTATCCCAATGCTCAAGTCTGGTGCCAATCACAGCTATGAACGGATCACGAGCATTTAATCGTAAATTTACTAGGCAGAGTTCTCTTACCCTTATTGGCCAACCGCAATTACTTACAACCAAAATGTACTGTACATATATATTACGAACAAAGACTATCTTTTACACACTAATGGCGCGCTTACCCCCAGCAAGTTTCTAGGTACGTAACCCTCCTGTCCGTTATCATCTCGACACCACCACCATTCGCGTTCGTTGTCATCCCCCTTCCTCAAAACTTGAAGTCTCGTTCCAGTCTCGAAAGACAACTCGTCGCTACGAGCTGCCGTGTATGAGAAAACTGCGTATACGAGACCACTGTTCATTATGCCGAGTTTTTCTTGAACGCCTGAAATAACATAACATAATGAAAATATTTAATAAAATAAACGACCAAGCTAGAAGTGCGGCCATCTATTTGCGAACAAGATCAAACTTTAACTTTAATTAGGTGCTGACATCTTGTTACGAATATGGAAAGTTTCATTTTAAAATACAGCAGTATATAGCATAGATGGCGCTGTAGTAATATTTAATGATGTGAACTCATATTAAAATTTATTTCATTCTAATAATTTTTTTACTAGTAATAATCAACATACTGTATAGATATTCTGAGCATCCATCAAATCCTTCCTCGTCTTCTTCGCATTTTTCGGCCGCTGTCTCATGATCAGATAGCGTCGTGGCGAATATGCACGCACCTGTAAAATAAAACATTTAATTGTATTTAAAAATGTTTATACAATATGATGTTTGATTCAACCTCTCAAGCAATAATTGAGTTTTTTTTATATTTATATATCGCACATACGGTGGTATAAAGTCATTTATGCAATTTTTGTTAACACTGAACTGAGTATAAGAAAATACATTTTTTAATAGTTATTTGTGAGACGAGAGAGATGTTTGCTTTTACTGATGAAGTTTAAAGTTGTAGTTTAAATATTATTTTATTTCTATAGTCTAGCAGAACTATATAAGCATTATATATTAAGATATTGAATTTTTCAACGTTTCTCTTGAAAAATTACATAATTCGCATAAGTGACATTATCGTACCGTATGTGCGATATGATGTTATACTAACCATTATCAACGAGGAAGCGAACCATAGCCAGGTTGTTACAAGACGCAGCGCAATGCAACGGTGTCCAACCGTCCGAATCTTGAGCGTTGACGTCACAACCCAACTCTACCAAGAATCTGAAACGAAAATAGATTTATAAATAACTAGACCACGTTGATTTGAACGCTACGATTGAACTGTTCTTAATTTGAACGCTACGATAATTTGACCACGTTAATTTGAACGCTACGATTGAACTGTTCTTAATTTGAACGCTACGATAAATTGACCACGTTAATTTGAACGCTACGATTAAACTGTTCTTTATTTGAACGCTACGATAATATGACCACGTTAATTTGAACGCTACGATTGAACTGTTCTTAATTTGAACGCTACGATAATTTGACCACGTTAATTTGAACGCTACGATTAAACTGTTCTTTATTTAAACGCTACGATAATTTAACCACGTTAATTTGAACGCTACGATTAAACTGTTCTTAGTTTTCTTAACGTACTTGACAATTTCAAAATGCCCAGCACATATGGCATTATGTAGAGCTGTGATCCCCTCGTCGTTTGCAGCGCTAGCATTCTGCACCTGTAATTAATTAATCACATTATGATGAAAACAGTAGGTAATTTTATGAAACTAAAAATGACACAAAACGCAGGGGATAGTTTTATACTACAGATATCTACAATAGGCTCAAAAAAATTCTCTTGACGTCAGTTCAGCAAACTAATAAACAAATAGAAGTATCGTTCATCATTAAAAAGGACTTAATCGGAGATTGCACTTATATATATACTTTCGAATTATTTAATCAAATTAATAAAATAGATTATTAACAGAGTGATATAAACCTGTGTTGCCGTTTTCTTAACCAATTCCAACTCTCCTTCTAAACTGGCATCCAACAGTAGAGCGAGGGGATCGAAGCTAACCCGTCTGGCCAGCGGTGCCTTGCCGCCTTGCTTCAAATTACCCTTTTTAACCCGTCTCAATACATTATCAGAAGATTCTTGCCCGTTCAAGTCCACCGAGCTGATCTGTTCTGTAATATCGGACACTATAACGTTATCTTTACTGTCTTCTTTGTCACTAACTGATCTGTCGACTTCGTCCTTCTGTTTTGTTTTCTCTTTTAGGCCGTTTTCATTGTCGATGTTCAAGTGATCCATTTCGGGGAACAAGAAGGCCGGCGGCATTTCGATGCGGCGATTAATGCTGACGCTTATGCCGTTTTTGGGATTTAAATTTCGTAGTTTAGGTTGTTCGCTCATCGGTGGCTTTCGAATCGTCAACGGGCGTGCTTTTATTATCATATCGTTGCTGCCGTTACTCGATTCTTTTTGACTGGACGTTTGATCAGTGTCGGTGGACGATTCTGGTATCGGTATGGTGGGCATGATCTCTGGTTGATTGAAATTCGTTTCATTATTCACCGATTGTCTTGGTGGGGTCTGAAGTAGAAAATGCAATTCACTTATTAATCAGCAAAATGATGTTTTTTTTAAATAATAATAATATTAAAAATCATTTATTGCCTTTCACATCAAATAAAATAAAATGAAATACAAATAAAAGAAAAGAAGAAAAAAAAAGAGAAAAAGGCAAAAGGAGGTCTAAATCTATGTTTATATTATATTTTATAATAATATTTTGGAAAGTTGATAATGTCTTAAAATCTTACAACTTTAACTATTTGATATTTTTATTCAGATCTACAGCCGCTTAGGTTATCGAAATTGTTTCAAAAATTAATACAACCGTAAGATAAATTCGAAACAGGGTTGAAGTTAAGGATGTTTAAACCGTCAACGTTTTTATTGTACAGTACCATAATCCAAACCGAACATGCGGAGAAAGTATAGCGGAATCTATTTCTTCTCACCTTAATTGTTGGTTTTGGAGGTAGAGCTGGCTTAGGCGATTTGTCAGTACTGACGTCGGGTGTAGAGAGCGGTGTGCTGGCGCTTTGCGGTGGAGACAGCAATATGCTCTGGGAAGATGCGTTCTGACCGCTGAAGTTACTTCCAGCACTCGTCGACAACCCTGATGCGGTGTTCCTAACAATCTGGGGTTGGGAGGTCACATTACTAGATACGTGATTCGTGATGGTCTGCGTTTGAACAGTTTGTGGCTGGACAGGTTGTATCTTAGTGGATGATGTTTGATAAATGGGTGATGGTTTGCCGCTCGACACTTGCACTGATGTAGGTGCTACACTCGACACAGGCTTCTGGAATGAGTCAATGAATGATATTTACAGTGTGCGATGATGTGAGTGGCGACAATGTATTAGCAGATGAGATATTAATAGGCCGGTATTTAAATAGAACATGTTAATTGCAATAATAAAAACAGTCATGATTTGTTATTACAATATGATCCAGTAACCGAAATTAGAAGCAACAAAATCGTAAATTGGATTTGTATGTACACAGATCAAGCAAAACATTAAAAATGGATTGTTGAAAATATGCACGAAAGGAATAAAATCTAAGCATTGTTATGAAAAGAATATTTGGTATTTACAATGACACAGAAGAACAAGAGGCAGGATAAGCTAAAACAAACTGTACTTACACCGAATCCAATGGAGCTGCTGGTTGTGCTAGAACCCAAACTGGGAGAGCTACCTTTCAAAGAGCTATTTTGTTGGGTTTTTCCGTTAACTTTCGCATCATTTTGACTGGTTTGACTTAGCCTATTCGGTGGATATGCATGATTCTCTTTACCTTCTTGGTTACATCTACTTGAAGAATCGGATTTTTGTAGCTGATATGTATTTTCTTGCTGATATGTTTCAGTTTGACTTAGAGGGGTAGCAAGGCTTTTGTTTACAACTGACAAGGGTGTGGAATGCACGGTCATGTGGTTTACGTTAATTTTAGGGTCCTGGTTATTGTCATTGTTTTTAATATCTTGTTTCTTGTTGTTGCTCTGTGGAAATTTCGTGTTGTATGGCAAAGTTTGATATTTAGGGTCATTCTTGCTCGCAGCGAATTCTGGTAAGAATTCTTGTTCGTTAATCTTTAGTTCTTTTCCAGTCTGATTGCTGTTAGAGCTACTCGTACTGTTTGGACTATACTGTGGCTTCAGATAATCTTGATACTTGTCTAATTTCTGCTCGTAAACATTACTTATACCTTGTTGCACGTGAAAATTTTCATGTTTAACGGGATATTGGTTCTGATATTGGTTCTCTTGCATTTGTGTTTGTGTGTAACCATTGTACACGGGATTTAACATTTGTTTTTGCTGTATGAAGTGGGCTTCTTGCGTGATATGGCTTTGAATGTTATCGCTCTGTGTGAGCTGTTTCAATGGCACATTGTTTTGTATAACATTCTGCTTCATGGCCTGAAAAGATTTAACGAGCGATTTTTTAGAGAGCGTATTTTTGATTCAAGAAAGCTTATTTGATTTTTTTTTATTGCTTGGATGGTTGGACGAGCTCACAGCCTACCTGGTGTTAAGTGGTTACTGGAGCCCATAGACATCCACAACGTAAATGCGCCACCCACCTTGAGATATAAGTTCTAAGGTCTCAAGTATAGTTACAACGGCTGCCCCACCCTTCAAACCGAAACGCATTACTGTTTCACGGCAGAAATAGGCAGAGTGGTGGTACCTACACGCGCGGACTCACAAGAGGTCCTACCACCAGTAATTACGCAAATTATAATTTTGCGGGTTTGATTTTTATTGCACGATGTTATTCCTTCACCGTGGAAGTCAATCGTGAACATTTGTTAAGTACGTATTTCAATAGAAAAATTTATACCCGCCTGAGATTCGAACACCGGTGCATCGCTCAACACGAATGCACCGGATGTTTTATCCGTTAGGCCACGACGACTTCAAAACTGATTTGAGAAAAGTTTAATATAATATTTGTAATTCATCAATATTATAATTACACATTCATATTTCTTTTGACGCAAAAATAATTTAAACACCACTAAGTATTTTATAATAGTAAGTAGGTACCTGAAAGTTAGAATTATGGCTGACGCTTTGCGCGTGTGGGACGTGGTTGTAGGGCTCCACAGCGGCAACATTGCCTCTCGCCTGCTGGTTCTTTGACTGACCGGTCACCGCTGTGTTGCCTGCAGAGTAGCTAGGAAGCTGCTGCATAGGTGCAGGATTATTTATTCTGCTGAAATTATAAAAATGCTAACGAGGTAAATAACGTCAGTGGTGCTTATCACGAACTTATAAATGTTTATATTGTCTAATAGGTTTTTTTTATTGCTTTGATGAGTGGACGAGCTCACAGCCCACCTGGTGTTAAGTGGTTACTGGAGCCCATAGACATCTACGACGTTAGTGCGCCACCCACCTTGAGATATAAGTTATAAGGTCTCAAGTATATGTAGTTACAACGGCTTCCCCACCCTTCAAACCGAAACGCATTATTGCTTCACGGCAGAAATATGCAGGGTGGTGGTACCTACCTGCACGGACTCACAAGAGGTCCTACCACCAGTAAAATTACCAGGTTTACGAAAAATGTTAATGAAGACAGTACAACATTTAGTTGTACTAGCACTTCTTCGGCATCTTTTGACAATGTTACAATTAGATTTAAATAGGTACATAGAATGATACGTTGCAAGCAAATGCCAAGTTTTGAATTTTCTTGCATCGTTTCTGTATAATAGCAATTTTTTTTGTTGAATACCTCAACTGGTTTCACGCAAAAAATGCCTACGAATAGACCTGGCGGCTAGTACACGAGTACGTGAATGAACGTGTATTTTATTATAATTTTATGACTGAATGTTTACTGTTGTCCCGGGGGCCTTTCCAGTTTCACCGGGACGGGTGGGCGAGTAAAGGCTCAGCCAAGAGGTGTGGAAATTGCTAACAGCTGCCCGAACGCCTCCAAAGGAGACCTAACAGCTCGAGAGCAGCTGCTTCGCGAATGAATTTACTGCCGGATCGAAATCGCGACCCGCTGAGAAGATCCGTCGAGAAACTCAGCGGGGTAATTCATGTACGTCATACTCTTTGTCGAGTTCTACAAGTACGGTTACCGGGGTCCCTAAGCTTGCTCCTAGTGTTAGAGCTGAAGGCGTCTAACGTAAGGGTTTTTGGATCTAATCCGCAATGTACCAACTACCGTCATTGGGCAATAAGTCACGAACTTTTACTGATTGACTTATTTATTTAGGACTAGTCTCCTGCGCGTAATCAAACCTCTTTAGTAACGCCTGAATTGGAAAGTCACGATAGTAATTATTAATAAATAATTAAGAAAATAAGGTCATTTGATATTAATAAAGATAAATTAAACAAATCCTTACTCAGCTTATCTAAGAATAATGGGATTATCAAAAAATACCAAAAAAATTGTGAAAAAAGAAGTTCATTTTTAAATAACGTCGGCATGAATATTTAAATTGAAGGATACGGAAGAATTGGCTTTCTTGGACTTTCTTGCTATCCTTTTCACACGTCCGCATTATAGGTGACACTGATATCGTCAAACTGAATATTCATTTGTTTTTTAACCAGTTTCAAAAAGGGGAGGTTCTCAATTAGACAGTTTTTTTTTAAATGTGGAACTTTAGAACTTTTTTCTTGGTGCATTTATTTTGATGATTCTTTTCTTATTTGAAAGCTAGTACTGCTCATGTGATCTCATTTAAGTTTCTGACCAGTCTGAGTAAAAAATCTGACCGGTACTTGAGTTATATATTCTAATATTACAAAAAGGAAAGATTCGAGTGTTTGTTTGAATTGAATAGGCTCCGAAACTACTGAACCGATTTCAAAAATTCTTTCTATGTTGGGGGGTTACATTAAATTTTCAAAAATTTTTGGGATTCTTACTAAAACTCCAACAATGTAACTCAGGGTGTAAAAACATTACCTAAAATATTCTTTACACCGCGTGTGCTGCGATGATAGAATAAAATAAAGTACGATTTCGCAGCATACATCATTATTTCCAAAAAAAAATATAGTTAAAACTCATAAAAAAAAAAGAAATAAAAAAAAAACCAAAAAATCATTAAAATAAAAATAAAAGCTCGTTAAAATAATAGTATTCAAACTTTCTTAACAATTTTCTTTTTTTAGTAACCTGACCGAAAAAGAAGGGTTTATGGGTGTCTTCAAATTTTTTATTTTGAAATTTTTATTAAATACCCGAGCGAATCTGGGGCTGGCTGCTAGTCTTTAATACTCTTCTTAATTTGATATTCTCATTTTATTACGATTTAGTAGGTTCACCGTTTTGTAAAACAATGGTATTATTTAATGCACAGTGACATCGATTGCAATTTAATGTACTATTTCATTTAAAATGTAAAAATTTATTGTCAACCAAAACGGAATGGAAAGAAAATATTATCTTTTAATTAAATCCCTAATCGAATAAGCCATCGCTCATAATTGTCCAAAAATGAATTTTCACAAATAATAATAACTCACTTTTCGGCTGGACTAAGCACACGTCAATGTCAAGTCTTGAAGTTGACGAATGCTGTCTTGTAAACAATAACAATTACAAAGTACCTCGGCGGTTGGGGCTGACGGTGTGCCGCAGCTAGCTGTCGGTTGAGCGCTCTCTTCCTCAGCAATCGCGCCTGAAGCTCGGAAACTCGTCGATCGATACTTCGCATTTCTTCTTGTCTCGCCCCAAGCGCTGCCCTTTGAGCCGACAGCCTGCCGTTTTGCTGTTCATTCAGCTTGTTTCGGTACTATAACCAAAAAAAATCCACTAAATCATCATTTAGATCAAAAGATGTGTGGTGTTGTAGAACACCGGATAGGAATGAAGTTCCTTATTATAAAAATATTAATTACAAGTTCTATTTGGGGTATAAAGAAATACATTGTTCGGGTATACATTTTTTATTATAATTTTTTTATTGATAAACAAAAACCATAATACTTTACAAAGTTATCAACTTTATTTTATTCACAATGATTTATAAAAAATATATATGTAATAAAAATATGTTATTTTTTGTACGTTATTACAAAGTTAAGTCGTACACTGTGTGCATTACTAATAAAAATCTTACGTTACTGACGTTTTTTTCCCCGTTAGGGTACCCCTCCGCATCGTCCCATAAGGAACTTCGTTCCAAAAAAACTATTTTGAAATCTAACCTATTTGTAACCTAAATCTAAATCTGTATCGGGCTAGAATAGCGCCACCCAATCTGTTTCCATGGGGGTCGTTAAAAGTGACTAAGGAATCCATCTGACAATGGGCTGCAACGTAATCTGAGTAACACCAGTTTCCAGCGTACAACGATCTCTAAGATTTGCTGGTGGTAGGGCGTATTGCCGCATGAATAGATACAAGATAGTGAAACAATTCCAACCCTAGAAAATGCTTTGTTAAATATTAACGATAGTTTTTCCGTCCCAAATCCCAATGGCAATTCAATAGACATATTGCAATACATTTACCTCGTAGAAACAAACCCTAACGTAGCTTCAATACTATTGGGAAATCAAACAGAAATTTTGCGAAGATAGCCTCTGTTTAGACTTTAAAGGCCTCCGTTTATTTAAGACGAATTGAGCTATTAACAAACAATAAACAAGCTCAGTTTTGTAATGAAAACGTAGTATTCGTGTTTAAACAGAACTCAGAGGAATTAAGTCTTAAACGTCGTGATGTAGATGTTAATTACAAAAAGCTAATTCTAAAAAGGTCGCTATAAAGAAATCGTTAAAAGTTGCAATCGTAAATTAGGATTAGCGCCGGATCCCAAGTCAAAAGTCATCATAGGCTATTTAACCGCAATTCCTTTCTAGGGTTAAATCAATTCCATGTGAATGAATTTTTCCAAGTCAACGATTGCTGTGGTCAACATTATGAACGATTTATTTTTTTGGTTCATATGGTGCTACTTGAAAAGAGAAATAACATTATGAAACAGATTACAGTTTATCGATTTAGACCTCCACTGTTTGTGTATCTTCTTCGCAGTGTTTTTATTTAAGTTTCACTTATATATTGTAGCCCTTGGACCCAACAACGCAAATAGCGTCATTCACTCTGACATGTGATGTTGAAGTTTTTTTTATTGCTTAGATGGGTGGACGAGTTCACAGCCCACCTGGTGTTAAGTGGTTACTGGGGCCCATGGACATCCATAACGTAAATGCGCCACCCACCAGATATAAGTTCTTAGGTCTCAAGTTTTAGTTACAACGGCTGCCCCACCCTTCAAACCGAAACGCATTACTGATTCACGGCAGAAATAGGCAGGGTGGTGGTACCCACCCGTGCGGACTCACAAGAGGTCCTACCGCCAATCAATGTCAGTGTCAATTTAGAAACGGTTTACCTATCCTTCAAAGTGGGATATACCCGTGCAAATCCTACGGCGCGCGCACAAGCAAGTACGAACCTAATAATTACACTATACCTTTGTTTTAAATTTAATTACTTGCTTCTATTTTTATGGTAGAAAGTGTTCTTAAATTACATTACTTAAAAAAAAAGAAGATACCTGCTTAGCGATTACGAACGACCAAACAGACGCGCAACTCGATACGGGTCAAACCGTAATGGAGTTATTATACAACGAACGTTTCAAAACTATTCTGCAACTTTGATTTTAGATCTTATTTACTGTTTCCGATTGAAAAAAAGGTTCGAATTCGATAACTTAAAATAAAATATCATTAAAAAATGTAATTTATAACATAATCATTAATTAGCAAATATTACTACTGAAATCAATTTTAAACTTATGTTTATAAAAAAAATATTTCTCTGTTTTAACAAGGGTTTGTACAGCTAAAGTAGGTTACTTTGCCTCCAATTTTCTCACATACTCGGGTCTTGAAAGTAAAAGCGTCTTCGTTTTGTTTTCCGATAATCAAGTTTTGGATCAGTCCAGGATCGGAGCGTATCCCAATAGCCTAACTTTCTTGATTGTACTTTAGTATTCAAAAGAACAATAAGAACGTTAGGTCTTTTAAATATACAGCTAAAACGTGTTTTTTTTTTTTTGTATAAAGAATTTGGCTCCAACGCCTTTGGCATTGATTTTGCCAATGTCAAAGTATTTACAAAAATGACCGGTACTTAGAGAGGAAAAAAATTACTAAATCTAAATACAAATAAATTTGGTCGGTTTTTCCATACGCGAACCTATGGTTTTAAGAGCAGCACAAACAAATATATGTTAGACTAAGTACTTTAGAGATAAATATTATTAGCAGATAAAAATTTACACAGAATATTTACATGTTTAGAATAGACTAAAGTTAATAAGCAATTAATATTAATAGGCCGGGGAATGAATGTCAGTTTGGAAGGATATAGAACGTGTTTTTAAAAATTCTCAAATCACTATATTCCCTAGTTGAGACCTCGAAAGAGACCTCCTAATCTGAACAACAGCACTATTTTGTTCTCTTAACATTGACAGCTGTGAGCTGATCTATCTAAGCCATTCAAAATAAATTTTCGCTCATTTAAAGTTGCCCCTTCAGCAACTTTAATTTCTTAGGTGATTCCGTAAATTGGCTCCGTATATTTAGACAACGAGCGAATTAAGCAGCTAAGATCCATTCAAAGCAATGTTATTAATCTGCAAGGAAGATATGCCGTCCCTTGGCACTGAAGGATAATGGCTGTAGCCTATTGGGGGGTTTTCGCTCTGTTACTTCAAACTGTGATCTTAAATAAAGCCAGATAGCCTTAATAAATCATTCGACTCTTGATAAAGTTAAATTTAATGAGGAATTCACTTTTAAATAATAAATCAATTAATTTTAAGTAATTCTACTATAATGAATTCTCAAATGTACCATCTATATCTATACTAATATTATAAAGCTGAAGAGTTTGTTTTTTTGAACTCGCTAATCTTAGGAACTACTGGTCCGATTTGAAAAATTCTTTCAGTGTTAGATAACCCATTTATTGAGGAAGGCTATAAGCTATATAACATCACGATAAGGCCAATACAAGTGGAGAAATAATAAAGAATGTTTCAAAATAGGGGTTTAAATAGCTCCTTAACATTCTATAAATCAAAAATATTTTCACTTTCTACGTAAATGAAGTGGGGGTTAAATTTAGCGTTATGCCAAAGTAACTATTCCACGCGGACGGAGTCACGGGCAAGAGCTAGTCATAAATATTATTTATCGCAATAGTTCAAAAATAGTGAATAACCTTCTTATTCTTTTGATTTGTTAATCCAATACCATACTGTTTCTGAAACGGATTGACGACAAACAATAAATAACTCAAAAGCGAAACTGTAATTTTGATTTATTACACGAGATTGGCGCACAAGCTCACACTTCACCTGGTGTTAGGCAATTACCGGAATTCATAGAAATCAAGAGAATGCCTCCACCCGCCTTGAACCCATAAAGCGGTGCTCTCAATAATATTGTAATACGACTGCGCCATCGTTCGTACCGGAACACATGAAAACCCTTCCGTGTTTACAATAAGTGTAAAACTTACCAGTAAGTTAAGTTTTACTACTACTATAGACTAAGTCGAATTAGGCAACAACATACTCGTATGTAATATATTATATTCGATCCGAATTTTATTTTCCCTGACAAATTCCAGCAGCTACCGCATAGTCTATGAGTTTGTGGTAGCTGCTGCACATATTTGATTACTACGTACACCATTTTTACGTAACTGTAATTTTTAATCTTTTTCTTTTAAAGAACAAAACAAATTAGTTTGTGAAGAATAAAAGCACGAAAAAAGAGTTTAATGTTACGATTAAAATGGAACATAATCAAACAGAAACGGTCACTGCAAGTAGCAAATAGAATAATACGATTTCCCAACGCGTTGCGTCGCACTGACCTTTTCACCTCGACCCGGATCACGCGGTGATATTTTCGGTCACTTCACGACACTTATCGAAAGGGTTGCTTGCTCTATCAGTTGTAATGTACAAATCCGGTATTTTCAATAACTTTTTGATCTCGTGAAAAAAACAATAATTATGGTAGGTGTAAAGTACTTAATACTTTAAACTTTATTTGATGCTACCTTTTTAATCAAATCTGGTTTTAATTCAAATCTATTTAAAAACGATAATAGTTTACACTTACTGTTTGTCCAATTATCCACTATTTTAGATCAGGATGTCACAAAACAATCACTATCACAGGTTTGATCTTATAAAGGTATAAGTTTTGATACCGACTGATTCGCACTAATATTTCCTTTACACATAATGTATTTAAGGTCAACGTCAAACGATATTCCTTCTTGAATGTCGTATCAATAACTGAATTGTCAAATAGTTGTTTGGATCAAGCTTTGGCATCGTAACGAACAACAAAATTAGACCTGTGACGTGGTTCTCTAGTTAGGTTTGCGTCTATACTTCTAAGAGTATACTTTCAAGCAGCCTTGATAAATCAATTACTTGAAGGTTGTAGCCAGACAGGTAAAACTATTGGAATACCACATTTAATGGTAAAAATTTTGAACTATCAGATATTGTAATCAAACCTTTACGGTGTGGTCTTTATCAAAAATCAAATGGACCATTAATTTGCAATGTGGAATATATAAACAATTGTTAAAGTGGACCAAAATTTATAGTGTATTAAGCGACGACAAAGTATTGGTAAGTCTTGAGATTTACTACATTAAAAATTAAGTTAATGAATAAAAAAAGGTTAGAGTAATGCCTATGGATTTTTACAGCTTTAAGCTTTCATGACCGTGTTCAGTGTCGACATCAATATTTTCATTTTTTAAATTGGTTATGGAATGTGAAATAAGCATTAAATTCTTATTAATCAAAATCGCAAACTTGTTTTTATCCGTGTCTGAATTGTATTCAAACAGAAATTAGAATCGGATCAAATACCTTTGATAAATATAATACCTAATCACCATCCTTAGATACCTATTACTGGGCATATGCCTCCCATTTTATATGCCATAATGCTCGATCGCTCGCCATTCTCAACCACGTGTGCCCCGTCATCCTAACTATATCATCGGTACAGCATGTCATAAATCTTCCGATACCTCTATGACCTAATCTTGGCTACCATTCCGTCATTGTCCTACTCCATCTATTATTATTTCACCTTGCTAAGTGTTCAGCCCAACTCCACATGCATAAAACAAAACTGCAAAATTTAACATAACCACTGAACTCAGATTTATCGTTAACCCAATATAATTTACAGCGTTCACATACATTAATTATAGTGTTGTTATAAACATAATTTTGGCAACCAATGTTTGCATATAAACAACATTCATGGTCGCTAATGTTTTGGAATACCTACATAACAAAAAATAGGTCAGTGTCAAATGCAAAGTAGTAATTAGTATTTTATAAGCCAGCTGTTTTACAAGAAAATTAAATTTATAAGAAAGCTATTGAAATTATTGTTTACTTTAAAACGATTGTTCGTTGAACTAAGTCATTTGGACGTTGATTATACAAATATGAGACACTTTCTCGTATGTACTAAAAACTATAGCACAAAATTTTCAGTTAATAAATTCAGTAAAGTCAAATTTCTGGTCGACCGTTACGCTACTTAAACTATGTTAATATTCCTATTGATACTTTCTTTTTCAGGTTTTCACTAGAGATTATTATAAACGCATTGGTTAACCTTCGAGACACAGTATTCATTAATCGAACTGTGCACTTAAATTTTTAAGAATTTATAATAAAAATTAATGACCCCAGTATATACTTATTATCGAGTTGAGAACGATGATTGATTATATCAAATTTAGCTCACTTATCTCGCGAAATAGTACTAAACCAATGTCTCAAGTCCAAGATTTGACCGTTCGCGATCTCAACCTACTTGGCACTCGAGTCAGTTTAAGCTATGCGCGTGCATTGTTAATTGATTATCGTATCGTATCGATTGATGACATTAATAAACAATCAAGCAAGCGTGCCTCGGGCCATTGTGATGCAGTACCGTCACTCTGTCGGACTGCAATACCAGCCCAACAGAGCTGTTGTAGAGCAACCGGTGTATTACGTTTTGACTCGACAAGCTAGTTCTGGCCTAGCGCTTATTTCGGGGCACCAGCTACTCTGACTGGGGCGGCCTGACGGCTTGCCGTGCCGTGACACCCGATGTATTCGTCTTTGACAACTTCGTCGGCCAGACGTGCTTGAAAGAACAGCGCATCTGATTGTAATTTTAACGGGAGAATACCCCGAGTTCTGTCGCAAGCGGGGATCGGACGTCAGACCAAAGTGCAGGAGAGTTGTTCAGCGAGTAGAACACTACCATTTTTGGCGCCACCTTAAGCATCTTCGACCATAAAGTCCCGTGTATGTAAGATGAGAGAGATTTAATCATTGGGTCTGATAAAAAGTAGAGAGGACCATTGTAGCAATACAATCGGAACTTCAATCTTAATGAGCAATGTTATTTAATTTTTTTAATAGTAATTGTCAAATAATATTAATAATATTAGTTAATTTAGTGGGCTTCGGTAACTGCTCAAGGAAAAAAAACTCACGAGCTTATCTGTAAACTTTAGCTAATTAAAAAATCCATTCAGAGCCCAGATTAAGGGTAAGGTAGTAGCCCTGAATGTAAACATAATGAGTGTTGCGATCACGCACACCGCACGAGTTGGTACCAGCGTCCTGTTATTTTTTCCAAAAATGAATTATTTATTCACATTTGAATATATTATATACTATTAAAATCCCAATATAATGTAGCGGTAGCTATCATAGAATAGAAGAAATCTGACAGAAACGTTAACGACATTTACAAGATAAGCTTACTTAATGGATTTTAAGAATTTCCGAACATCAACATACACTACTGAGACAATGGCGTCTGCTCGGTGAAAAACCTTCCCTTCATGGTATTTTACAGCTATCGAAGCTATTCTAATCTATATCCATATATATATAATTGAATTGCTGTTCGTTAGTCTCGCTAAAACTCGAGAACGGCTGAACCGATTTGGCTAATTTTGGTCTTGACTTATTTGTGGAAGTCCAGAGAAGGTTTAAAAAGTAAATAAAAATATGAAAGTACTCAGAATTAAATAAAAATAGCAATTCTGTTCCCCCTTTGATGTGTCTCCCGTCGGACGGATTCCTTTTGTTTGTTTTAAGTTTATTTTATACAAAAGTTTAGGTCTTTTATTTATCGATTGAGGCACTACGAAGTCAGCCGGGTCAGCTAATACAATATAAATTACAACCACATGTCTCAAAGTAGGCAACGCTATTTACGTCTTGATGCCTAAGTGCTCCAGAAGTAACTAACTAACTTTGCATTAATTGAGTCGAATTTGATTAAACGGGCTGAATTTGGAAGAATCGTCTTCCAGCCCAACTTTAATACGTTTTTGGCCGTGGCTGTGTTTATTTTTATTTTTACTCATTATTTTATATTATTATACCCATTGTCTAAAAAGTTAGTTCATAAAGAGCGATTTGTTTATAAAATTATTCGAAAAAGCATCTTGACTTAGCATGCTAAGTTAAAAATGATTGCTTTTAAATTAATTATAATTTTTTTTTTATTTACACATGACACAAAAGTAGATACAAGAAAAAGGGACTCATATTATATCATTATTTAATTAAGACAAAAACAAAAATGTAATATGACAATATTTCAGAGAGGGAGGCTAAATCTAACCAAGTTTGGTAACGTAATTTCTAAGCTATACTAGTAGTAGGTTTTTTTTTTTTTTTTTTTTTATTGCCCTTGTAGGCAGACGAGCATACGGCCCACCTGATGGTGAGTGGTTACCGTCGCCCATGGACTTCAGCAATGCCAGGGGCAGAGCCAAGCCGCTGCCTACCGCTAGTAGTAGGTATATGGTCGTATACATATATTTAAATTATACTATTATATGGATATACTACAGCGCGTACAATGGGTTGAGTAATTTAAAAACAAAACTAATTACGAAAACAAAAAGGATTTAAATATTTTTAAAAAGATAAAAATCTTACACCCCTGGCATAAGCAAAGTGTATAATGTTTGAAAACACCAGATCAAGCCATCAATCAATCATTACACGATATTTACACCAAATAACGGTTAACTGAACCGGATCAATCTGGTTACAACCGGAAGACTCAATAGACCGAACGCGCATTTTGGAAATTTTACTTCAATTTCCGAACATCGATAACAAGTTTTAAATTGTCCGAATCATGCTCACCGATCCGCTATAGACGTTGACAAGGGATGAACTGATCGACTTGATGAAGGATGTAAGTTAATTTGGCAAGGTAAAGGAAGCATCAGTAACTGAAATGGCCGCTCGTTTCGTATTTCATTTTATAGACAGAGAGCCGTTACTGTCCTAGATTAATTAAGTTAAAACAAGTAATCACTGTGATAAGTCTATACTAGTATTATTAATATTATAAAAAGGAAAGATTTGTTTGTTTGTCTGTATTGAATAGGCTCTGAAACTACTGAAACGATTTGAAAAATTCTTTCACTGTTTAGAAGCTACACTATTCCCGAGTGACATAGGCTATATAATCTTTCTTGAAAAAAAATAGGAATCCTTACTAAAACTTCAATAATGTAAGCCAAGGTGTAAAAAAATTACCTATAATATTCTTTACATCGCGTGCCCTGCGAAAACTATTGATGATAGAATAAAATAATGTACTACGACTTTGTAGACAACATTATTATTTCCAAAAAGTGTCGCGACAGCATATATCTAACTATTATAGTTATGCCACAATAAGTGTTCTTTTATTAAAAAAAATAAAACAACGTCAAATATCGTTGAAATTTTTGTTAAAGACCCGAGCGGAGCCGGAGCGGTCCGCTAGTTAACTTATAAAGTGAAACTAGACTTAATGGAACTCAGATCTATAATTATCACTGGTTGATATTTTTAGTCGTATAAACTACTTGGTTAGGAAATAATGAATTACATCTATAAAATTACTCACCATAAGTTCCCGCCTCAACTTATCCAATTCATGTGCGGAAGGTGGTGCCGGCTGGACTCTACCTCTTCTCAGTTCTTCTAGCTGTCTTGTCAACTCTTCCACTTTGGCCACTGCCAATGACAACTCCTTTTCTTTTTCATTGAAGAGAGCTCGTATTGACTCCAGGTCACTAGCTGTATACAATATATTTCAAGTTATAATTTTATCAAGAAATTCTTACATGATTATATTACATGCATAGAAATATTCTTTTTGCTACTGCTTCTATTTGTAATTCAGTTGAGCGATACTAAGGATACAAGTACGCCACATCTCTAAGTATTATTTCCTAATCTAATTCCTAAGCCAATCACGTTTGAAAGACTTGTCATACCACTTTGGGAAAACTGTGCAAAAGTGTTCTCAAAGTCAATGAGGCCACAGACGGACTGTTGATGGACGCAACGGCTTCAGGTGGGTAAAATGAAATCACAGGATTGTTTTAAATAAATCGTCAAAATACTTTCAATGAAACGTACGATACAAAATAAAAAACACTAAGGTTTCCCTGTAGATACAAAAATTGGAAACGTCCAGATTCCTATTCAGATTTCAAAACCCTATTCCCTACTGCAACGCTTATCACTCCCAGCGGGATGTTAAACTAAAAACCGATTTTTTTATTTCCAAAAATGTATGAACAGACTTTGTATTTTAATGTATAATAAATTGCCTAATAAGAATAAACATATAAAAGGTTTATATTAGGACATAAATATTAAAAAATACAAATCTGGAAACGCATCGGGAGGAGGACAATCCTAGAAAAAATTGGGGACATAATGCTTCTGCGTGTGCATCATCAGCGCAATCACGACCACTCTGACCAGGGTATAAGAAGAGAAAACGTTTAAATTGCAGACCACTGTATAATTGCAAAATAGATTTTAAGAGAGATTTTATGTTAGAAAATATCTGCATTTTTTTTTGTATTGAAAACTCCAAGTCAATAAACTATCTCAAAAATATATAGTGAGAGTGGTGAAGTGAGGAAATCTTGGAAGTGCGTATCTAACTTGCTCGTTGTACTTAATGTAGCAATTTACTTTTCATTCCCTTCACGTTCCGCATGACGAAATATTACTTGTCGGAAATTTCCAACGCTTCTCCTCATTACACCTATTTACAGTTACAAAGAAGAGCTCAAATTCTATGGGTTTTAGCTTGAAGTTTGATGTATGCTTTATGCTTCATATATCGTTTAAATAGCTATTCATAGGCCGTCATTCCTTTTCATAATATCAGTCTGAAGTAGACCTCTTAGTTAATGATAGCGTAGTATTTTGTCAGCTGTAAACAAACTAAACAACTCTGTAGTTTCTGTGTTAAGAACATAGTATAAAATTATGTCACATTATGCAGCAAAAATGCTATTTGCGCGGGCAAGGACACAGCTGGGGCACATTCAGAGCGGCGAAGAGGGAAATACCTCAGTCCTTTCAATTATAGAAGACAATAAAACGGGCTCCATCTGTAGGAGGGGCGCTGTTCGTCAGAATAAGGACTTCATCATTCAGTAATATGTTTTTAAAGAGGAAACATTAATATTAAGTGCGATTTTTTTGGTAGATTTCGAAAATGCGAACGGATAGTCTTAAGTATTAATAGCTTTATCTTTAAGATGAATAAAACCAGAAGAAATATCATTTTAATGGTAAAATAAATACGTTATACGTCCGTATATACTGTTTGTTTATTATTATGTGCCTTTAAAATAATTTCACAATATTCAAATTATTTAATATTATTTTCACAAAAAAATACGGCGCTAGAATTAACGTTTCAATTTATTTTAGTCTATTTTAAGCTATTCATCTAATTATAATTTCAATGTAGACTTCTCGGAGTCAAGTCACGTAATCAGACCTCGGAAGCCACACTTTTGTCGAACGAAAAGATGATTCAAAAACAAAAGACTGCCAGTAGGCGTCCCGGATAATAGAATATTTCTCTGCCAAATGTATCACGATCGTGCGGATCGCGGACCCTACCAAATTGATTTAACAACACCCTTCTAGAAACGTATTTTGCTTTTAGTAGGTAATTCAAACGTTTCGCCTGCTATACTCCTTGTGCTCGTGCTATACTTACGCTATACTACTGTCTTGATGTTTAAAAAAATCAAAATAATTGAAAAATAAATAAAAAAGATTTCCTTAAATTCCTTAAAACCGTTTCAAGAATTTGTATATATTTAGGTAAGTTTGATTATATTGGTAGTTTGATTGTATTGTATTGGTAGTTTGATTGTATTGTATTGGCAGTTTGATTGTATTGTATTGGTAGTTTGATTGTATTGTATTGGTAGTTTGATTGTATTGTATTGGTAGTTTGATTGTATTATATTGGTAGTTTGATTGTATTGTATTGGTAGTTTGATTGTATTGTATTGGTAGGTGTATTAGTTGGTCTATTGGTAGAAGTCCCTTCGATTGCTGATCGTTAGTATTGTCATGAAAGTTTTTTTAGAATCTTAAATAATTAAATGATTTTATTTTGTTTTGTTCTTGACTTTTTAATTATTGATTTTAACACGAAATGTTTTTTGTCTAAATAAATACTACGTATCGTCAACGCTTAAATGCACACTGCACCTTTCATTTCATGACTTAGTACTTGTAAAAATACTAAAAAAGCTATGATTTTAAACCCATACCTTTTACAATAAACACTTGGGGTGTTTAGGAACAGGTTCAGGAAGGTACCTAAATTTCTTGTCAACGCGAAGGGCGTATCTAAATACAGACATAACCGATTCCTATAATTATTGAAGATTTAAGCTTATTACATTATATTACGATTCATTAATCTTACGATCTTAAACCTGCGCCCAACATTAAGTCACTAAAAACCATAATAATTTTTCCTATTCGTTTCTTGCTTTGCGTGTTTTCAGTTGTTCTCTACTGTCACGCAATAAGCCAATACATTCGCTCTGTAAGACTTATGAGGTCAGCGCCGACGTTATTAGTAAAATAAACTTTATGATGCTTCTACGAAATTAGGTTTTCCTACAGCTATTATGAAATACTTAGTTCAAATTGAATTATCAAAATCGTCTAATAAAATTTACAGTAATATCTCTCTCAAAATTTGCAAAACTTAATCAATCTATGACATGTTACTAGGTGAACGATTTTAAGCTAATTTTTTATTAGCTAGACAGATGAGGATGATGATTGATGGGCAGAATTTACGGACTATGCCATGCTAAGCAGTAACTGGACGGCGTGTTACTTTACAACAGATATTTGAGTACGGCAGTGCAGCCAACACATAACATAGAGATTATCTGGAAATAAACACAAGCGACCTTAACGGTTATAGACATTATTTGACTTTAATGAACATAATTTTATATTCTATTTTTAAAATTTTAATATTTTTACTTAGTCGGTTTTTCCATGTATTTTTTTTTATTTGAAATAGACGGTTAAATCCCCTTGCGTCCTCGTCCAGTAGTACCTACTGCATAGTAATTACCGGATCTGACAGATGTGAATGCCGCCTCTTGAATATGAGGTTGAAGCCTCAATAGCACTGCTCTTCAACCTAGATAGAGGTAGCCACAATGATGAAACCTATCAGTATCCGGGCTAGCGGTACGCACTACTAATTCGCAAATTTATAATTGGACACAAAATACACACCTTTTTTTTTAGACCACGGGTGTTTCATTCACTCGATTGAGTGAAAACTTTTTGTAGTTATTGTTAACACTTCAGGAAAGACCTGATATGGTACTAATATCGAACGACTGTGACGGGAGAGTACTTTCGATATAAGCTTGCCTTGTTGGTATGGTATATATACTTCATGTTATATTTCCGATCGTCACGAACACAGGTGAACGTTTTGAACCTCACAAATGCGATTGAATAATACTTTGAGGACGTAGTAGAAGTCGTCGTGGCCTAAAGGATAAGACGTCTGGTGCATTCGTGTTGAAGCGATGCACCGGTGTTCAAATCCCGCAGGCGGGTACCAATTAGCCTAATGAAATACGTACTCAACAAATGTTCACGATTGATTTCCACGGTGAAAGAATAACATCGTGTAATAAAAATGAAACCCGCAAAATTATAATTTGCGTAATTACTGGTGGTAGGACCTCTTGTAAGTCCGCGCGGGTGGGTACCACCACCCTGCCTATTTCTGCCGTGAAGCAGTAATGCTTTTTGGTTTGAAGGGTGGGACAGCCGTTCTAACTATACTTGAGACCTTAGAACTTATATCTCAAGGTGGGTGGCACATTTACGTTGTGGATGTAGGCTCCAGTAACCACTTAACACCAGACGGGCTGTGAGCTCGTCCACCCATCTAAGCAATAAAAAAACATAAAAAAAAGTAGTCACATAAGATTTTGAATTTAAAATAATCGAAACGTTATTAATTAACAAACCATCTGATACATGCGAGATAAAGCCAGTCAGATGTTTTTATTTGCACACGAATTCGTTTTTCACGTTATTTTAAAAAATGATATGCATTAAATATTGTCTATAGGAGTTATTAATTTCATAGTATTGATAAAAGATGTGTATAGCTGTTGTTTATACGGTCACACAAACTTAACTCATTAAAAAGAAATTATTAATTAATTCATTCATATTTATTTAAATCTAAGATTAAATTACATAGTGCCATAGCATACTCGACAGCGATAATTTTAAGCAGAAAGACCGCTTGTGTAAAAAAAGTCAAATAAGTATAAAAAGTTATTTATACAAAAAAAAAAGTGTGTGTGTCCGCTCCGACGCACGACTGGAGTTTACTGGATATAAAAAATTAAACGAAACAATACGAGAAATAGTTCTATATTACGACAACACGATTCACTACAGATTATTAACAAATTAACGAGACACAAAACAAACGACTAACAAATATATGAAAATACAATAATGAGAGAAACGCGCGATCAGTACGAGGCTTTGTGGCGGACTGCCGGCGCAGCAGCCCGGCGTCACCTGCGATAACGCATTTCGTGTGNAAAGTACATAATCGAAAAAGGTAAAGTTTATAGCTTGATTGATGTGCCCATTACCTATATTCAGGTACAGTCAACAGTTCAAACCGGAATGGGTCGCGCCCAATCAGCGTAATGAGGCAAAACTTGTATAGTGATTAGCCG